CTTTTTTTTTTTCCTGTCTTGACTCAGATTGTAAGCGCCAAAACGAACCCGAGAAGTTGTAACATTTCAAAAGGCAATATATGATCTATTTTTTCTAATTCTGTGGAAATGAAACCATGATTATGATCTGCTTAGCAGTCTTGAATACAGTTTTGTCATAATGTCAAATGTTTAAGATGTTTTCTTTTATTTACATAATTCAGTGAAATAAAACTGTGATGTTTTGTTACAGGAAATGTATTTTTGTTACAAGGTTAAAAAACAGATAAATGTCAGCCAGTGGCAGTAGTTCTAATTTAATTCCTGTTGTGCGTTGTATGCTGTTTTTCATTGTCATTTTATTGTTCTCTGGTTTAAAAAAAAAAAAGGTGCAATATCTTATTTCACTTTTGAGACAAAGATGGTTTCTCGAATATTTTGACAAACTTTTAACTTGTAGTTTTAAGATTATTTTTTTATTTTATTTTGAAATTGAGATGTCATGGATAATTTATTACAGTGATCTGAAATGATAGGATTTAGGGGGATGTTGCAAATAGCTTTTTTGCCTTTACTACCTTGTAAAACGATGTATATATGCTCATATATTTGACTGTTAATTTAAGATATATATATGTTTCATATATGTATTATATACACTTATAAGATATTGTTTCCTGCGATCTGTGTTGCAGGAAAAGTTGTCCCTCTTTTTTCTGTTCTGTTTTTCTTACTGAAAATGTTCAAAGATTGTGAATGTGTGATTTTTGAAATTTGATGTTGCATCTTGTTATGAAGAAGAAGAAAACAAGGAAGTGGTAGATTTATTTTGTGTATACTCTTAAACTATTCAAGACTGCTAAGCTGCTGCAATTCGTACCTGTGTAATAATTAATGTAGTATTTTTATGTTTTAAGTATTATGATCAAAAAAAAAAAGAACTTGTCTTATTTGGTACCTCCCAGTTCGCCAGCGTCCCACTGAGCCCCGCCCCTCGCCCCCTTGCTGTGGACACAGTGGGACGCTGGACTCAGTCCAATGCTAATATCCTTTTTAATTAATTTTTTATTTCTTTGTGTGATCTAATATAAATGATGCATCGTTATTATGGAGAATGGTTCTGGTATTAATGTCATTTCTTAATGAAAAGGGATATAATTTCAAATTGTCTAATTATGGTGTTTATTTTTCTCCGTGTGTACAGTTTAACCGTGTATTAAGAAAGCAAAAAAAAAAGGAAAAAAATCTGGACTACCTTTACGTGTACTGTTGAGCTGATTTTATTTCTGTTAGATGAATATTATAACCATTTGGATGTCTTTTTGTTGTATTCTGCTACTAAAGTGTTTAAACTGAAAGCTCTATTGTGTGTAATACCAGATGAAACTTAGAGGATATATAGGCCAAATGTATGTTTTCTTGTTTTATAAGAAGAAAATATATATTTTCTATAGTCTACTGCCAGTTCTCAAATTCAAATAAAATTTCCGCAAGCCTCTCTTGTGGTTGGGTCTACATCTGTTGGGACTTTTAGATTACTATTTTACTCTTGTTTTAGAAAGAGAATTTGGTCTTTTAATGAAAAGTGTATTTTTAGGGCGATATTTAACATTTTTGTGCTTTAAGAGAGCCCCTTAATTCTCACGTCATGTTTTAATCCAGCTGCATCTCATCCCTCGGTACCCGTCCCCACCAACCAGAGCGCCTCCAGCTCAGTCGCTGCACATCTTTGCCCTCAGCAGGGAGGCTCCTGCCTCAGTGGATCCTGCGTGGCCCCGCTCCGGCCCCATGCTTTGATGCTGTGCAGCTGTTTTCAAATCCGATCCTTGGTTTTGATCCCTCTCCTCTGAACGCCTCGTCCCTGCGGACAAATCAGACCTGCTGGTCTGTTTTTGTGGCCGTCGTCATATTTTAGCTCTTTGATTCAGCAGAGTGTGAAAGGCATGCTTCTTGGACACATAATCTGCTTTATGGTTTATTTTATGATGCTCTGTCAGGGACGGTTGCAACAGTTTAATCTGCTCAGGTGATGGGAGTAGGGATTAAAATCTGTGAACAGAGACTTGGAGGAGTCTTGTTAGTGTGCTGGGCCCCAAAACAAATTTGACGAAATCTCTGAACATGTTACTGGCCCGACATGTTTTTTAATATGATCACTTTAAAAAGAAAGTTCTTAAGTTTCTTTGATTTTTTTATTTTATTATTTTGTAAAGGTTCAGTATTTCTGTCGATTTAATTTGTTTTACACATCCAACACGTTTACGCACAACAACTAAAAGTGTGGTCATGGAGGAAAATGTTGCCTTTGTTCAACCAGTTTTTAAACAATAATTCAATTTGAATCAATGTTTAAAGTTTTCCCTGCAGCTTACTTAAAATGCAGATTCTCACTTTTTTTTCCCTCCTGTTGCCACTTTAATAAAAACTTCACTGTATTTATTACTTTTATGAGTACAAACAAACCCAGGTCTACATAAAACAAATGTCTAGTTCTGAACCAAGTACCCTGAGTTTAGTGTTTTATTTTTCCACCCAGTTTAGAATTCCAGATTAAAACTAAGTGATTAGAAAATAAAAGTTGAATTGTTCAACCTGCCTTCTGTGGCATAAATCTAAAAGCTGTAGAGTTTAAGGCACCAGCCTGCTAACAGAAAAAAAAAAAACCACAGAACAAACTGAATTATTTCATGATGTTGGTAAATTTTGCTGTTGAAACAAAAATTAACATCCAGACTTACTGCCGACATTAATCTAAGTATTCCTTTTCATCATCTTTGAACCTCATTCACTCAAATCCTTCCTGAATGGATCCATTTTTCCCTGCGTTTCTTTGAATTTAAATACGAGAACAGAAAATATTTTCTGTACTGAACAAAATAATACCAATATACCATTAAACTTACTGTAGTATTTAACCAAATACTGCGACCAAATAATGTTATTTGCGCTCCTCGAACGCGCGGGATCGTTTGGAATGCGGGATGGGGAGGTTCTTGGTGCGCAAAGAAGGCGCACCTCCAGCTCCTTCACATCCAGCAGGTGTCTCGTCACCACAGCCCCCCCTCCTCACCCAAGCCCGGCCATCAAGAATGGGGGAGTGGAGTTGGGGTTGTGGTCTTCAGGGACAGGAGGGACCGCTGCGCGCTCACCTTTTGCAACACATAAGCTGATCCAGAGGATCCAGCGCGCCGTGCGGCTACCTTAATCTGTTTTTAATGACTCTGCCCTGAGACTGTGTGTGTGTGTGTGTGTGTGTGTGTGAGAGAGAGAGAGAGAGAGAGAGAGAGCCCTGAGTGTTTTAATTGTGCCAATCTGTCAGTAAAAACGCGATTTTCCTTCTCAAAATAGCAAATATTTAACGTGAATTGAAAGGTTTTCGAGCTCCCACAACTTCCTCCTCTTGCAAAGAAACCTAGAAAGTCTAATCTATGTACAAGTGGGTTTTCTTCACCCCCCCCCCCACACACACACACACACACACACACACA